AAAAGAAAATTTAGCATCCAAATTGAGATATGCTGTAAGTATAAAATACACACTAGATTCATTCAAAAAAAATTTTAAATAGCTCAATAATTTTAAAATTGATTTTATATTTAGAGGAAATATTTTAGACATATTGGATTAAATGAAATGTGTTCTTAGAATTTTTTTAATGTGACTGCTAGAAAGTGTTAAATTACTTACGTGGCTTGCTTTGTATTTCTGTCAGATGGCTTTGCTCTAGGATTATCTAAGAACATACTCCTATAGCTGCACTAACATAATTTTGGTTTCTCTGAGTAGCAAGAAATGGGAGTCAGATAATTTTCTAGGAAATCTAGAGTTGTCTACTTACACTCAGTTTTTGTCTGTAACTGGAACAAAATAGAGTTTAAAAACCCAAGACTGAAGATCATATCTTTTCCCATTAATGTTATGACTCATAACATTAGTTTCCCATTAAGGTATTCAGACTCAAATAGGTTTAAAACACATCCAGGGACAACTGGGTGGCTCAGTTGGTTAAGTCACCGACTCTTGATTTCAGCTCAGGCCCTGATCTCATGGTTCATGGGTTCGAGCCCTGCGTCTGGCTTTTCAATGAGAGTGTGGAGCCTGCATAGGATTCTCTCTGTCTCCCTCTCTCTCTGCCCCTCCCCAGCTCATGATCTCTCTCTCTCTCTCTCTCTCTCTCTCTCTCAAAAATAAATAAGCACTTAAAACACACCCAGAGAGAAAGGGAACACTGGCCCACACCTGCCTTTTCAAGAACAGTAACAGGTCAAATGGAACAGGGATTAAGTTGAAAGGAATATAAAAAGATTCTTATTGTAGAAAAGTTTATGTTCTTCAGCCTCCTTAATGAACCCCACTGACAACCCCATGGAGTATGTTTATGCCCTCCTGTGCCAGCTCTTAGGGATCTTGCATGATGGACTTCGTGTGATTTAATGCTAAAAGGTTTGGGATATAGGAGACGATTATTCCCGTAATCTTCCCTAACTTCCTTCCCTAACCCCCTCTCTGTCACACACACACACACACACACACACACACACACACACACACACACACACGATGTGCTTGGGAAATATTTGGCTTCATTTTAAGACAGGCTTTGTTTCATTACTCAGCTTTTTTTTTTTTTTTTTAGTGTTTATTTTTGAGAGAGAGAGTGCAAACAGGGGAGAGGCAGAGAGAGAGGGAGACACAGAATCTGAAGCAGGCTCCCAGCTCTGAGCTGTCAGCACCAGCTGACTGAGCCACCCAGGCGCCCCTCAGCTTTTGTTTTAATATAACATTTGAATAGATAAGATAATTAGATGGGTCCCAAATTGAACAGCTTGAATGGTATACAATGAAATGTCTAGCTCTCTGTCCTCCATTTGTCCCATTTGTCCCTTCTCCAACCCCATCTCAGGTAAACTCTTGTAATATTTTCTGATGTATGCTCCCAAGATTTCTTCAGGCAGATATAAAAAATGTAAATATGTATGTTTATTTACTGCCCTTTTTTTACACCAAAGGCTGCATATTGTACACATCTCTTGGTTAGCAATTTATGTTGGACATCTTTGCCTAGCAGTGTGTAGGGAAATCAACTCAGTTCCTATTCAAAGTCTGTCATGAATTCCCTGAAATTAAAGGCAAAGTTTTGTGTTAATGTAAGTTTTCCTTTATTTTAAAAAATATATATAATTTTAATTATTATTTTAAATTATGTTAATTTTTTAGCCCAAGAAAAGTGTAAAAGAAAATAATACAACAGGATTATTGGCCAGAATGATAAAATAATATAATTCATGTACCCAGATTTAACTATAGTTCATTTTTTCTTCCACTTTTCTTTTTTTTTTTTAAGTAAATCTTTTGTGGGGCACCTGGGTGGCTCAGTCAGCTAAGCATCCAACTTCAGCTCAGGTCATGATCTCTCAGCTTGTGAATTCAAGCCCCGCATCAGGCCCTGTGCTGACAGCTTGGAGCCTGGAGCTGTTTCAGATTCTGTCTCTCTCTCTCTCTCTCTGCCCCTACCCAACTCATGCTCTGTCTCTCTTTCTCTGTCTCTCTGTCTCAAAAATAAATAAGAATTTTTTAAAAAGTAAATCTTTTTTTTTTTTTTGATGTGTATTCATTTTGAGAGAGAGTGCACAAGAGCAGAGTAAGGACAGAAAGAGAGAGAAAGAGAGAGAGAGAGAGAGAGAGAGAATCCCAAGCAGGCTCCGTGCTGTGAGCACAGATCCCCATGCCCGGCTGAAACCTTCAAACTGTGAAATCATGACCAGAGCCAAAATCAAGAGTCAGATGCTTAACCCACTGAGCCACCCAGCTGCCCCCTTTTTCTTTTTAATGAAATTTTACAGATACAAATGAAGTCATCTCACTCCATCTCCTTTTTCATTTCCCTTTTCACCCTCTGGGAGTAATCACTGTTTTGAAACTAGTGTGTGTTCTTCTGGTCCCTGTTTTTATGCTTTTATTATTTATGTATGTACCCATAACAATATATAGCATTGTTTTTGTTCTTTTTCTTTAAATTTTTTTTAATTAAAAAAAAAATTTTTTTTTAACTTTTATTTATTTTTAAGACAGGGAGAGACAGAGCATGAACAGGGGAGGGTAAGAGAGAGGGAGACACAGAATCTGAAGCAGGCTCCAGGCTCTGAGCTGTCAGCACAGAGCCCGACGCAGGGCTAGAACTCACGGACCGCGAGATCATGGCCTGAGCCGAAGTCGGCCGCTTAACCGACTGAGCCACCCAGGCACCCCCATTGTTTTTGTTCTTAAAATTAACATAAAAATGATCCCTTACTCGATGTGTGAGATTTTCTCTAGAGTATACTCATAAAAGTAGAATTGCTGGGGCAGAGAGCATCTAAGGCCGTAAGTGACAGTTAACTCCCAAATACCAATGGTTTAAATCAGAAGTGTATTACTGTCTCGCATAAAAAGAGAAAAAAGAAAAAGAAAAAAATCAGTCTCCAGGTAAGCTGTCCAGGCTTGGGACAGAGTATGGCCACATCCAGGAAAGCAGCTGGCACTTCTAACCATCCACTTGCCAGGCAGTAGTGGCCCCAGTGAAGAGTCTAATCTTATGCACTACATTTTTCATTTCTACAAGTTCTGTGCATTTGTTTAGTTTCAATTCTACTTTGTCTTTTTGCATACTTCTTTTATCTTGGTTACTATCCGTTCTTTTATCTGTTTAGTAATTTTTTAGATCGTTGCATTACAGATTTTTCAGGATTATTCTGTTATCTCCAGTTCAGAGCCTTCCATTTGTTATCTTGCCAAGCCATTCTCATCGTGGATCATTTCCTCATGTGTAGTGTTTTGTGGCAAACCACCACCTGTTGAAATTGTGTTTCTGTGGAACTCCCCTCTGACTGCCTGGTTTGTGGAAGTTTGACTACAGAGCAGTTTTTCAAATGCTTCTGTCATGCACAACAGAAGTTTCGCCAGTCCAGGCCAAATTTTATACCAGTTTCTCAGCTCCAAGATTCCCATTTTCCATGGGAATTATAAGTTCATACTTCAACCATAGCAAAGCCTGACTTGGGGTTTGCGTTGTTTATGAAGGATTTTTCTCTCCCCGAGGCCTCAGAGAGAGCTTGCTTACTGTGTCTGTGGGCCTCAGGGCAAAGTTCTTCTACTCCCCCTTTCATTGTGGGGATATCTTTTCTGGGGTCCTGGATTTAAGCAGGGTTTCATTTGCAGCTCACCTCCTCTCCTGAGCCCAAGGCCATGCCATCTGTCACCCTGTGGGTGTTCAAATCCCAAACTCCTATCCCCAACTCCAAGCCATGATACATGTATCTCCCAAGCTTCTCTTTCTTTGTAGAAGTACGGGAAGTGACATTTGCATTTTTTATAGCAAGCAGCTGTGCATTTTTTTTTTTTTATAGCAAGAGCACTTATCCTTTATCAGATTCTTAAAAAGGTTAACAGTCATTGCTTAAGTACCGAATAGGAATATTCCAATATTTAAAATAGACTTCAAGGGCAGTTGTTCATATTATAACAGAAGATGGCCTCACACATAATTTTTATCAGCTATTCATTTCTGCACTGCAAGTTCCTTTGATGTATTTAAAACACAGTTTGATTTGTAAGTCTGTATTTATTTAGTTAAACTTCAGGAACTCACTGGAAAAAGTGAGATTCACCAATACAAACAAATAGGTGAGGCCAGGTAACAAAAGAAACTTCATTTCCCCAGTTTTGCTCTTAGAAGGGAATTAATTAGGGGTGCCTGGGTGGCGCAGTCGGTTAAGCGTCCGACTTCAGCCAGGTCACGATCTCGCGGTCCGTGAGTTCGAGCCCCGCGTTGGGCTCTGGGCTGATGGCTCAGAGCCTGGAGCCTGTTTCCGATTCTGTCTCCCTCTCTCTCTGCCCCTCCCCCGTTCATGCTCTGTCTCTCTCTGTCCCAAAAATAAATAAACGTTGAAAAAAAAAATTAAAAAAAAATAAATAAAAATAAAAAAAAAGAAGGGAATTAATTGGCCAACAACTAAGTGCCTTCTGTTCTAGCAGAGGGCAGATGGGTAAATAACCTGGTTTAGGACATCAGGTTAATGGAAGTGATTATGAGGATTACAACAAAGGATTGGTGTATGGACAGGCTCTGAAAAGATGAGAAGACTCTGCTAAGGGGCTTGGGAAAAGATTGAGCTGCTCAACAGTGTGTAAACAGGGTGGTTTCTCTTCTACAGATGAAAATGAATGTGAGCAAAACAATGGTGGCTGCAGTGAGATCTGTGTAAATCTGAAAAATTCGTATCGCTGTGACTGTGGGGTTGGCCGTGTGCTAAGAAGTGATGGCAAGACGTGTGAAGGTGAGAATGGGTAAGAAGGGATTCAGATCAAGATCCCAGACTAAACCATTGGCTTACTCTTTGATTGATGTTCATGAAATTGTCCAGCATTAGGAGACAGTCAAGTTTGGGCTATGTAAAGAAATGACAAAAGGGGTTCACCGTCACTGGGGACTTTCATGTTGCAGGCAGAATTCGGTTTTGATTTCATCTTCAAGATAAAGGCAGTTGTATTTTGCAAGAGGCAGAGGGCCACTTTTTTTTTCTTTTTAAGTAAATTCTACCCTCAGCGTGCGGCTGTAATTTACAACCCCAAGGTCAAGAGGCACAGGCTCTACCAACTGAGCCAGCCAGGTGCCCCAAGGGCCACATTTAATTTGGGGGAAAAAATAGGGTATTATGCATTTCTCAAGCTTTAATGTGCCCGTAAATCACCTGGGATCTTGTTAAAATGCAGATGGTGATTCAGTAGATCTGGGGTCAGGCAAAGATAATACATTTCTAAATAACTTCTAGGTGACGCCTCTGCTGCAGAGGAGCATAGTTGGAGTAGGAAGATAATAGAGATAGTTATAGCAGGGTTTCTCAAACATTCCTGCTGAGGAGAATCACCCGGGTGCTTTCAAACCTGGCCCTTGCCAGTCCTCTCTCCTGGAACCTTGGTTCAGGGGAGCGAGATGGGCCTTAGGGTTTGTGTTTTTACCAAGTTCCATTAGGTGAGTCTTACCATCTTGAAGTTTGGGAACCTGGTTCACATGCAGGCATTTTTTTTTCCCCCTCTATGCTTTGCATTTACTGGAGATTAATACACTTTGGGGAAGATAACTAAAATTCTCTATTGTTAATAGCAGAAATGCTGTGTACATTTTATATGATTAAGTAATAAAAAAGAATTTGTAATTTATGTCAAATAGTTGAAATGGCAGTTGTGTACTCTGACAATGATATGAAACTAAGGTAATGTTCTTTCTCTAAGACACCTTTGCCCTTGTAAATTATCACAACTAAAATGTCGTCCCTTCCACTTTACTGAGTCTGAATCTCATACCATTGGGAGTTGAGGGACCAAAAGAAAAAAAAGAAAAACCCTCTTTGCAGATTATATGAAGAGATCAATGGCTTAATTATTATTTACAGAGGACCTATGATTTGTCTGTGAGGCTAAATCGAATTTGTGGTACAACACTGCTTATAAGAGTTCACTTTATTCTGGTAATATTCAACATAATAAAATATTATCCCGAAAGGAAAAATTATGCCTAGTTCCTACATTTTGTTCTATGCAACAAGTTTGCATTAATAACCGGGGGACCATTAGCCAGAATATTAAGCTACTGTCACTTATAACAAGACTAAATGTACTTTAAATTTTATTGAGTAAGGGTAATGTCCTGAATCTTCTTTAAATCTTAATTATTTTATGTAATAATCTTTGCATATTGAAATATTAATGAAATGTTCCATGAGGAACATTTGTAATTATTTGCAAGCATTTTATTGGCAGTATTAGTGTTAATCTTCATATAATTTTAAAACCTAATAATCATGATTGAAAGTATCTTAAGAGAAGACAAAATTTATATATCAGGTATACTTTAGCATTAAGATGCATATTTGAAACCCTTAAGTCTTATTGATAGTCCAAACATATTTGTTTCTTTAGTCATTAAATAATTATATCTTCTTTTTTAAAATAAAAGCCTCTTTTTAATTTTATGTAGTTTTTATTGTTTTGTTTATTATGAAAATTATGTTCATATAAGAAAATAAATACAGAGGAATAAATGAAAGGTAACTAAAATGACCCACAATCCCACCTGCCAGATGTATCCAAACATTTGGAATATCCTCATAAGAGACTTAAACCCTTTATGCCAACATAGAATTTCAACTTACTTTGTGCTTTGCAGTTTTAGACCTACAAATAGCCTGAGTGAACATTTAGTCCAACCCTTCCCTTTTATAAATATTGAAATCGAGACCCAGAGAAATTAAATTGACTTAAGGAAGATCATTTTTAGAAAAAAAAATCCCATTAATGTTGATTTAACGTTTTCTAGTATATTTTTATGCTGCCTTCTACATTGCTGTATATCATTTTCAGCTCTTTCAAAAACCAATAGTAGTACTTTTATCCTTTTTAAGTATCCAGATTTGTAAACAGGTAATAGCCTAATACTTCCTAAGTTTTGCAAGGATTAATTCGCTGCAAATTTGTATTCTTTGTTTGTTTCACAAAAATCGGTTGATCCCAGGTTAATTTACTAATGTTCCAAGGAACTAGTTTTTTTAAACTGTTATTGAACTGAGAATTATAACTATAACTGGAAATCGGTTTCTATCTTTCTTTGAGCATCTGAGATGCTTTGAAAGCATTCCCTTTACTTATCTTACCCCTAGAACAGGGGCAGCAAACTTCTGTGTAGACCAAATAGTAGGTATTTTAGGCTCTGGGGATCATATGGAATCTGTTGAAACTACTCAAGTCTGCCCTGTAGTGAGAAAGCACTCAGACAATTGGTAAATGAATGAGCGTGACTGCATGCCAGTAAAACTTATGCCGGAATTTGATGACCCCTCACAATGTCTAGAGCCCACAAAGGTCATTAATTTTCCCAACTAACTATGAAATCGTGTGGTAGTTTCTTCAGTTGACAATTGAATATTTTTTTCTTGTTCATTTGGTTGAGTATGCTTTTTGAAAATGCAAAACTTTCGGGGCACCTGGGTGGCTCAGCTGGTGAAGTGTCTGACTCTGGATCTCAGTTCAGGTCTTGATCTCAGGGTTGTGAGTTAAAGCCCATGTTGGCCTCCATGCTGGGCATGAAGCCCACTAACAAAGAAGAAGAGGAAGAGGAAGAGAAGGAAGAGGAAGGAGGAGGAGGAAAAGGAAGAAGGAAATAGAGGAGGAGAAGGAGAAAGAGAAAGAAAATGCAAAGCTTTTTTTTTTTTACATGTTTTATTTATTTTTGAGGCAGAGAGAGACAGAGCATGAGCAGGGGAGGGGCAGAGAGAGAGGGAGACACAGAATTGGAAGCAGGCTCCAGGCTCCGAGCTGTCAGCACAGAGCCCGACGCGGGGCTCAAACTCACAAACCGTGAGATCATGACCTGAGCCGAAGTCGGACGCTTAACCAAAGGAGCCACCCAGGCACCCCAAAATGCAAAGCTTTTTAAAGGAAACTTTAAAAAAACACCTCAAGAGAGGAATGTCACAAAGAGTATGTGAGAGTGTGTCATCCAGGCCTCATTTTTATAAGTGTGCTATCAGCCCAAGGCACGTATCCCAGTGCTATTGTTCCTAGAGATTTGAGGAGAGGGTCTGGCAATCCAACCAACTGGCAATAATGGATACGTCTCTCTAGTCTAGTTGAATTTATATTCTGTCAGTCCCTTTTATATCAGTCATATGCTATAAAATTTCAAAATGGGTGGATTACAGCAACTAAGAAATGACTTTTGGGTCTTCCTCTCCAAAACTGTCGTATAACCATGAGAAAAACAGACAAATCCAGATTGAAGGTCATTCTACAAAATGACCAGCTTAAGAGGTTAGAGCTTTAGATGTTCTAAGATTGCTCTTTCTAGCTATAACATTTAATAAACATTTTTTGTGTGGACTTCCCTACATGACTCAGTGACTGGGTTAGACCCCAGTGATACTGCAATGAGTCAAATATATTCCCTGATGCCAAGTGCCAGCCCAAGAACACAATTCTTGGGAAAGAGGCCTGCAAGATCACTCCCTTTTCTTTTGGTTTTATTGCAGACATTGAAGGATGCCACAATAACAATGGTGGCTGCAGCCATCTTTGCCTTGTGTCTGAGAAGGGCTATCAGTGTGAATGTCCCCGGGGCTTGGTGCTGTCTGAGGATAACCACACATGCCAAGGTAGTACACGGATGCGCTCAACCTCTGCTCTCCCCCGTGAATCTCCCTGCCTTCTTCACTCAAGTGTGTTAATATTCCCATCTTGTAGAGCATCAGCTCTTTCGACAGTGTGTATCTCTGCATCTTTACTCTGGGATCATTCAAAAGAGAAGCTCTCTAAGACAGCATTACCAAAAAGTTCATTTTCTTTTGCTTTTTAAAAAATTCTGGTACAAAAAAAACATACAACAGAAAATTGACCATCTAAACCAATTTCAAATATATAGTTCGGTAGTGGTAAGTATATTCACATTGCTGTGCAACAGATTTCCAGAATGTTTTTATCTTGCAAAACTAAAACTCAATACCCATTAAACAATAATTCCCCCCATTCCTCCCTCCCCACCCCCTGCCCTGGCAACCACTGTTATATTTTCTATTTCTATGAAGTTTGACTACTTTAGACACCTCATGTGACTATGTATCTTTTGTGATTGACTTATTTCACTTAGCATTTCATTTAGCACAAAGTTCATCCATGTGGCATATGACAGGATTTCCTTTCTTCATAAAGCTGAATAATATTCTGCCGTATTAATATACTACATTTTGTTTAGGGGCTCATCCATTGATGGGCACTTGAGTTACTTCTACATTTTAGATATTGCAAATAATGCTGCTATGACCATGAGTGGGCAAATATCTCTTTGAGATCCTGTTTTCAGTTCTTTTGGATAAATACCCAGAAATGGGATTGATGGTCCATCAGTTTCCTTTGCTTTTTACTTTTGATTTTTTTCTCTAATTTCTATTATTAGCAGTATAACTAATAGTTAATTTTGAAGTCTAAGACACTGATGCAGTTCCTCTCTTTTCTAACAGATAATTGGGTGGTGAAACTAAGTTGAGAGCCCTAGGGAGCTGATTCGTCTCCCTACAATTACAATGTGAACATCAACAATTCTCTGAGAACTATTTTCTGGAAATCTAGTTATTTATGTCCAGAATATTAACTCATTCACATAGCAAATATTTAATGAGCACCTATCTCTGATTTCCTTATACTGTGTTATTGTTATGATATATCCTCCCATATTGATGTTGTCCTCACATATTTTCTGACAGTACCCATAAGTATTCCTTTTCGGGTATTTGTAGAGTCTGGAAAACTGAACACAGGAACACCAAAGAAAAGCAATCTTTTTCATATTAAGTTAAAGTGGAATTTATAGTCAGCATTTATGGTTTACTGAACAATGCAAGGACAATTTGGAACTCTTTCCCAAGTGCACTAACGTTGTTTTATTACCTCTGTTTTATGAGACATAATTAATGGTAAAGTCAGAGCAGTACTGTTATGTAATTTAAGCCTACATCAAAGCAGTACTTTTTCTGTATTGCCAATAAATTGTGTTTGTGCTAAAAGTTAATCCTTTAGGTGTTTCAGTTCGTGGAACTATGCTATCCACACTTTGAAATAAATGTTGAATTGAAACTCAAACACAATATTTCCTCATTCGGGGAACAATTATTTGAGGATCATTATTAGACCACAACCCTGGGAGTTAGGAGTCCTGGTTTTATTCACCAACTTGTTTTGAGCCTCATAGATTTTCTTAAGGATAAAACAAAAAGCTCAAATTGTGTGAGGTTAAAATTATTTCCCCTAGACACCGTCCTTACCCTTCTCCCAATTCAAATTTCCCAGTTCTAACAGTACCCCCCTTCCTGCCGCAGTCCCCGTGTTGTGCAGGTCAAATACCATTGAAGTGAGCATCCCCAGGGACCTGGTTGGCGGTCTGGAGCTCTTCCTGACCAACACCTCCTGCCGAGGAGTGTCCAACGGCACCCACGTCAACATCCTCTTCTCCCTCAAGACGTGTGGCACAGTGGTCAATGTAGGTTCTTCCTGGAGGACGCTTGGGGAATAACCAAAAGCCAGTTATTTGGGAGGTAGTTGACAGAGGTGTGCAGCGTGGCTTGTGTTATAGATGAAATAGTTCCACATTAAAAAATGGAGCTTGAAGAACCATATGCCGTTCATTTAACACATATATTATTGAGCATCTGCCGTGGTCCTGGCACTGTGAGCACAGAGAGGTAAGAAGAGTTCTTCTCTTTCTGTTCTTAAATGGTCCTGTCTCTCCAATGTGTACAGACATTTCCCCAAGTGCCTCAGCACCAGCACTGGGAGACTGGTCGCATCTCCTCTGACCAATTATTTTACTTGAAGAAAGCAAATGACACAGATGAAAGTTCACTTATGAGGTAACAAATGAGTTCGAGTAGTAAACTAGACAGAGGTTCAAAGTTTGTATTTTTGTCCAAGAATCTGCATTGAAGTCTCAGGGATATATGAAATAAGATTCCTAACTTTTGAGAACATACACAGTAGTATTGAGATCACACACACACACACACACACACACACACACACACACACACAATATAAATAAGAAACAGTGAGGGGTGCCCGGGAGGCTCAGTCGGTTAAGTGTCCACCTCTGGATTTCGGCTCGGATCATGATGTCATGGTTTCTGGGATGGAGCCCCATGTCGGGCTCTGTGCTGACAGTGAAGAGCCGGTTTGGGATTCTCTCTCTCCCTCTCTCTCTGCCCCTCCCCCACTCATGCATGCTCTCTCCCTCTCTTTCTCTCTCAAAAATAAATTAAAAAAGAAAGAAAGAAACAGTGATACAGATGACAGGTGCTATAGCAGTCTAGAAAGGGACAAACATAGGGGATGTCAAGACAAATGGGACTTGAACTGGAGTAGAAGCATGTGTGTGGCTTATACAGAGAGGAGAGGGCATTTCAGATGAGAAACAAGTGAGCAAGTCTCAGATATGGGAATATTTAAGGCTTATGCTGAGTGAATGGGCAGTTCAGACTGACTGGCAAGGAATTCATATTGGAAAAGGAAACTAGAAAAGTAGACGGGGTAGGGTGGAGGTGGGGGTGCGAGACTGCTTCCAAAGATCTGCCTTGTGTGCGAGGGTGAGACGTTTGGGCTCTATACCATAGAGGGGGGTTGCAGGCACTGTTGTGATGAGATCAGAAGCATGAGAAATGGATAGAGAAAAGGGGACCTGGATCCAGGAGATCAGGGCAGAGATTCTCATGACCTTCTGATTAAATAAATATTTATTTGCTGAATTCGACTAAGAGAAATCAGAGAGCTAATTGAACTTAGATTGAGACATGGGGGTGGTATCTCAGGAGAAGGTGGTCCCACTTTAGGCAAATTGTGTTTATTGTATCTGTAGATGATTAAGTAGAAAGGCCCCCGTGGTGTGTTGGATTTGCTGGCACCCGGAGAGCAGACAAGGCTGGAGACAAAGAACTGAAAGTCATCTGCATAAATGTGATAGCTGAAGTTCTGCCTGTGGATGAGTTCAGCACAAGGTCAGGCCGCAGCCTGATCAGCAGGTCTAGGAGTCCAGAAAAAAAAAAAAAAAATAGAAGCCATTCCTTCCTAAAATACCAGAGCTTTGAATTTGCTGATTCTGCATAGTTCAGGTTTTATGAGTAATACTCCAAAGGAATGCGTGGGTTGACCATGAAGTACTATATAAAATTCTTAACAGTCAGAACATCTTGCTAAAAAGAAGTGATTAAAAAAAAAAAACAGTTCCAGTCTTCAGCAACCAAATCTTTTATGTGTTTTGATGTAAATAGAAGTTGAGAGAATGTTACAGTCAGGAGTGGGGCAGGGTTTGGGAGGTGGGGATGGGGAACTCCTTAGAAATAAACATAAAATCTTTTCTTCTCCTGGCCCTGGCCTGGCTCAGGTGGTAAATGACAAGATCGTGGCAAGCAACCTTGTGACAGGTCTACCCAAGCAGACCCCAGGGAGCAGCGGGGACATCATCATCCGAACCAGCAAACTGCTGATCCCAGTGACCTGCGAGTTTCCACGCCTGTACACCATTTCAGAAGGCTACGTTCCTAACCTTCGAAATACCCCACTGGAAATCATGGGCCGCAGTCATGGAATCTTCCCATTCACTCTGGAGATCTTCAAGGACAATGAGTTTGAAGAGCCTTACCGGGAAGCTTTGCCCACCCTCAAGCTTCGAGACTCCCTCTACTTTGGCATTGAGCCTGTCGTGCACGTGAATGGCTTAGAAAGCCTAGTGGAGAGCTGCTTTGCCACCCCCACCTCCAAGATCGATGAGATCCTGAAGTACTACCTCATCCAGGATGGGTAATTATGCTGCTTACACGATTTACTACCCCCAGTTCACATCCACCTTCTAAGTGCACAGGCCTACTCGGTCATTTCCTAAAACAACATGGCACTCTTATGAGTTCTTAAATGGTTCAGAAGCCACTCATTGACATATTGGAGGTAAAAACTGGTGAGGGAGCAGAGAGTCAAAAATGACTCCAAGGGGTCTAGCTCAGGTGACTGACTAGATGCCATTAACCAAGATGGAAGGCTATAAGTAGAAAAGCAGGTTTGAGGTGAAATATTGAATATGATAATTCCAAGTAATGCTATTGAATTGTAAATGCCTGTAGGATATATGGGAAGAGAAGTTCAGTGGGCAGTTGGAAATGTATATCAGACCTTGGAACAAGGTCAGGACTAGAGATAAAGGAGCAAGAATCATCCCTGTAGACTACAGGCACCCCTTGTAGACTTCTCTTTTAAGAAGCTTGGTAGCGACGAGCGACTCTTGGTTTTGGCTCAGGTCATGATCTCATGATTTGTGAGTTCAAGCCCTGCATCGAGCTCTGTGTTGACAGCACAGAGCCTGCTTGTGTGTGCGTGCTCTCTCTCTCTCTCTCCCTCTCTCAAAATGAATAAATAAACTTAAAAAAGAAGAAGAAGAAGAAGAAGCAGCAGCAGCAGCTTGGGTAGCGAAGGAGAGAAAAGAAATACTTGGAAGGTTTCAGGAGAAGAAAGATCAAGTGAAATTTGGTTTTTCTGTGCCTGTTTTATACAAAGGAGATTTCCTTTATCTCCTAAGAATCCTTGGATTGAGAACTATGTGTGTCTCATGGGATCATTGGAAGTCTGGCGGTTATCCCATCCATTGCTTACATTCCCAGGAAAATTACATTCATACCCCAAACTCATGGCAGAATCTTATCAGTTTCTTCCTTGTTCTCAGTGTCAGGTGGGACATATCTCAGGTAGGGGCAGGGACTGCAGCTCAATGAAAGGGAAATGGTCTAGCAAGAGCACCACATGGGCCATGCCCTTTGCTAATTGGCCTGCTGGACTCTGAAATATCTACTTAGCTTTTATCTACCAGATCTCTCATCACAGGCAACCTCCACCTGCTGTTGTCAATCTCTCACACAGTGATTTTTCAACTCTTGAAGCACATTGGGATCAACCAAGAGCCTTTTGTAGAAAGTAGCAGTACCCCCATGCTGTTCTCTCTGTTCTCTTACTATCTTAATTCCAGCCCTTGTTATCTTTCACCTGGACAGCTAAAACAGCCTCCCAACAGCCCCCTAAGTCCCAACTCTCAAATCTCAGCTTCAAGAGTCCCTGGATATCTAGTCAAAAGGAAGACAAACTTTAAATTTTTGAAAAAAAAAAAAAATATATATATATATATGGTCAGATCCATGTTGAAAACCTTTGATGGCTCTTGATTTCCTTTGGTTAGTAAATTTCACTGTTTACCAGCAGGAGTACTTCTAGCCTCAGCTTTCTGTAGCCTCCTTTTCTTGTGTTCAGAAAATGGAAAATTTATCATTCTGAGCTGTTTTGGGTGGCCAGTAATAGGTCTCATAGGAGTCTGTAGTTCTTGGGATTTCTTGCCATCTTAAAGTTATCCTCACAAAGCTTTAAAGTGAAAATTAGAAGTATCACTTTTTATTTATTTTTTTTCACTCACATCCTAAAGTTAATAGATTAAGGAATGGATTTTCTTTTAGGGGGAGAGGAGATTTTGGTTCCTTTTTTTTTTTTTCTAACAGCATTATTGGAGTACCATTCTCACACAGTGAGCATACACATTGAAAGTGTACAGTTGGGTAAGTTCTGACGTATACATTCATGAAGCCATCACTATAATCAAGATAGGGAACTTTTCTCTCATTCCAAGAGTGTTCTCCTTCCCCTGTACTTACTTTTTACAAAAATAAATGTATAATCATAACCCACTTACTGGAAAAAGATGTAATCTACAATCTCAATAAAGCTTGCAAAGTTTGTTTATGTATTTGTTATTCAGATAGTTAAGGACTATATACTTTTTATTTTAGACAGTTCTAAGAAGCTGTGCTATTTAATTTTCCAGCCCTTAGCATGTACAAAATAGCCCCCCTCCTGAAAATGCTACAGGAGAAATTAAAATGCTTAAAAGCCAGAGACAAGAACTCAAAAACACAGCTGTAGAGATCTATTTAGTAACCAGGCAAATAGTCCCATCTCTGGCACAATAATGGATAGTACTGTAATGGTGTATATGAGACAATTCCTCAAGATAAAATCCAACTCTGAGCCTGGCTTATTGTGCCTCACCCTCTGACCTCTGCCTTCTCCAGTTTCTGCTCCTGGCAAAGGGAACTACAGGCAATTCCCACACTCCATTGTTCCTTACACCCTTCTGACTGCACCTGTTTTTTCCTCTGCCTGAAATCTTCTTCCCCTTTTCTTGCTGCCTGAATCTTACTGGTCCTTCAAGATTCAACAGGATTTCTTTCCTCCATGAAGCCTTCCCTGATTCCTTCTAACCTGAACTAGAAATATTCTTTCCTTCTCTTTCCTCCTCAATGCCTAGTCTATAGGGTCATTAAATATTGGTCAAATGAATTATTGCGTGAGCATTTAACATAACAATAATCTGAAGCTAGTCCAGAGCCCTAAAGTAAACATAATGCAGTGTGATTACATTTATAAACTGTTTGATTATTCATCGTCCTCAGCTTAAATTTAAATCGGGATGGTTTCTCCTGATATTTGGCCCATCTCGTTTACCTCCCTCCAGTTTCAATCGGCCTGTGCTCTGAGAATGCAAAGTAATTTAATACAAGCCCACGCAAAGTAGAATTAGAAAGTTATTCTCCAGAAAAAGAAACATATTGAATTCCAAAATAAAATACTGGACAACATTTGGGTAATCAATGATTTTGTATTATCCTATATACCAATGTTACTTTCTTTCAACACACCAGCTTAGAGCTGATGAACCAGCATTGTGTAATCATGGCAAACCCCAAGTCAAGAGCCAGAATTTGTTCTGGGTTCTCTTCTGTAATATATTACCCTGTAACAACTCTTTTTGCCTCATTCTCGCTTGAAACAACAACAACAGGGGCGCCTGGGTGGCTTGGTCGGTTAAGCGTCCGACTTCGGCTCAGGTCATGATCTCACGGTCCGTGAGTTCGAGCCCCGCGTCGGGCTCTGTGCTGACAGCTCAGAGCCTGGAGCCTGTTTCAGATTCTGTGTCTCCCTCTCTCTCTGCTCCTCCCCTGTTCATGCTCTGTCTCTCTCTGTCTCGAAAATAAATAAACGTTAAAAAAATTTAAAAAAAAAAAAAGAAACAACAACAACAACAACAACAATAGTATTTTTAGGTAAAAATAAATTGAAAATGGTGAGGCACTTAGATGAAAAGTGCCATTTTAATATCGCTTTACTCTTTTTTATCATAGATACAGACTGTAAACTCCTTGACATCACAGACCATATTTTTCATCTTTATATCCTCTGCAGTTCCCAGCAGAGTATGTTGCATTAGATTAGATATGCAGTAGGTATTTATTATAGAATGTAATCAAAAGATGGCATAAATTAACTTTACCTCAGGAAAATGAAAATGAGTACATAAATACAAGAAATAAGAGACTGCATTATATATTTAGATCTTCTTCAGTTCAGGGGAATATGGTACTAGTGGTAATATAAGTCACAATGCCTTATTTTTAAACAATTTTATGGGATTTTTCAATGGCACTGAAACTTAGCAATGAACTAGAAAGTGGTCTTTAAGCATGTGGAGCAAGTATCCAATTTCATAGACTTTTACTTCTGATCCCCACTTTTTTTTCCTGGCCTTGGCAGGCAAGAACTATTAGGTATCCATAAAAGGGAAAATACATTCAGGGAAAATAAAGTTCCTTTAAAATTCAGAATGGGAAAGATGATACAGGTGTAATCCCTGGCCTGTAGGAAGAAAATGTTCATCAAATACTAAACCGTGGTCTCAAAATTGAGAATCAATAACACATCTTTTCCTCAGCTAACCCTGACGTACCCTATGAGTTTCACTTCAAGCAGTAGACCTGAGATTAAAACCCAAAAACCCTACAAAACCAAAACTTAGCGTTACATTTGGGAAAAGAGGAATTACAGCAGTTTGGAGGTGAATGAACTTTCCTCAGGAGAACGAGTTATTCTCTCTGGAACTTAGGTCTTTATGCAGCTCTTTGAAATACAAGTTGGGGTTTGCTCATCTCTGAACCCCCCTTGGGGGTTAGTGTATATAAGGTGTCCAATAAATATTTATGAAGTCTAGTTAAAAGAAAAGCCTTTTTAAGCCAATTATCGAGTATGTAACCGCAGAATCCCTACCATGTATTACAAATAAAAATACAGCCTTACAAAGATACCTTCATTTCCAGAGATACCGTTGGAATAAATGTGGGTGCTGTTGCTGGCACTTCAGTACATTGATATGTCAAGAGGTCCTTGTGCCCAGTTTGTGGGTACAGAGAATGAGAGATGATTAATGAACAGGGTTGTATCTGAAGATGCCTTTCTAGGGAGGGAATTTCATTTTTCCTTCATTCTCAACAAGCTTGAGTTCAGCCCAGCCTCCTCCGCCCAGTCAGCCACTCTTTGGACCAAACACATTGGACTGGATTGTTTTTCCACCTCTGTAGAAACAATCAAGTCTTACGTGCTCTCCTGTCTTGCTTTCAGCTGTGTTTCAGATGACTCAGTGAAGCAGTACACATCACGAGACCACTTAGCAAAGCACTTTCAGGTTCCTGTCTTCAAGTTTGTGGGCAAAGACCACAAGGTGAGCTGAACACCTTTACCTTGTAACCTACATCCCCCACCCCCAGACCTGAACTGGTGTCCCAATTCGTTGACCTTCTCTATGAGACCAAAGTTAGGATCTGCATTCCCCTCTGAAAAATACTGTAGGGGTGCCTGGGTGGCTCAGTCGGTTGAGTGTCCAATTTTGGCTCAGGTCATGATCTCACAGTTCATGAGTTTGAGCCCCGTGTCAGGCTCTGTGCTGACAGCTTGGAGCCTGGAGCCTACTTCAGACTCTCTGTCTCCCTCTCTCTCTCTGCCCCTCCCCTGCTTGTGCTCTCTTTCTGACTCTCAAAAATAAATAAACATAAAAAAAAATTGTATAAAGTAAAGAAAAATACTGTAGAATTGGCCACCTAGAAGCCTAATACCTTCATTAATATCACAGTTTATCTGCCTCCCTCCCAAGAAAATCACTGTGCTTGTTCAAAGAAAATACTATATGATCATAATTTAAAAATTTTTTTTCAACATTTATTTATTTTTGCGACAGAGAGAGACAGAGCATGAACGGGGGAGGGGCAGAGAGAGAGGGAGACACAGAATCGGAAACAGGCTCCAGGCTCTGAGCCATCAGCCCAGAGCCTGACGCGGGGCTCGAACTCCCGGACCGCGAGATCGTGACCTGGCTGAAGTCGGACGCTTAACCGACTGCGCCACCCAGGCGCCCCTGATCATAATTTTAAATCATTGTGGGCAGATATGGTTGAAAAAGTCTGCTTGGTAGTCATTGGCCAAGGATATGGACAGAAAATTCACAGAAAAGACAAATAGTGAAGCGTTCAGTGAAAATAGTACTTAAGACGCCAATTAGAACAATTATGAGACATTATTTTATGCATATTAAATTTATAAAAATTTATCACAATGCTTGCTATCACAATGCTTGCAAAGTTATAGGGAGAATACAGTGACAGTATAAATGAGTATAATTTCTGGAAAGTTGTCTGATAATATGTAGCAATAACCATAAAATCATATTCTAAAAACTCCAATTCTGACAGTTTCTCAAAAACAAACAAGCAAAAAAAAAGAAAAACACGATGTGTTAGATGTGTTTACAGAGCACTGTTACATGGGAAATGAGAGAAAGCCCCCAACCAGGCCTACCATATATCAGTTAATGCAATACTAAGCAGTTATTAAATGAGAAACATAGAAAAAGGAGATATGAAAAAACTTTTATCATAACAGTTTACACGCATACTGAATATGCTACGTCTTTGAAAATTATACATACACAGAAGTTATAAGAGGCCATAGATAGTATGTTAAGGTGGAGGCTTTTTTGGTTTTTGTTTTAGTAGAGTTGTTGAGACATTTAAACCAAAATAAGTTTAAGAGACCAATATTCTTTTCCACCCTGCGTTTAAGTGAATTTAAGTGAACAGTTACGTCACTGTTCCAGAGCACCTGCTAATCATGATGGCTAATTCTGATCTCCCTCCTCAAGCAGGCAGCATGCTTTGGGAGGTAACTTGTAGGAAGAAGCTTGGACAAAGAACTTGTTATTTTACACAGAAGTGTGTGGGCATCAATGTTTTTCCCAGACTTTGATGCTAAGAATGAAGATGTTAACATTATTAGATGTTGCCTTCTCAAAGGTCTCTCCTGTCCCTGTACAAAAGCAAAAGTTATAGATGTGGGGTTCTAAATCACCCACACGACTCAGTGTCTTTGCCACCTGACCAATGTTGTGAATCTGGGCAAGTTTCCTAACCTAAGTCTCAGTTTCCTCATCCGTAAAATGGGGATGATAACATCTACCTCAAACAGTTGTTGTTTAGATGAAACGAGACAATATATATGAAACATCTGGTATAGTGTCTAGCTTCTAGAAAGGGCCCCACAAGTGGTAGCTGTTATCATTATTTTTGTTAATTATAATTATGGTCTTTCCAGGAAGTGTTTCTGCACTGCCAGGTCCTTGTCTGTGGAAGGCTGGACGAGCATTCTCGCTGTGCTCAGGGCTGCCACCGGCGAATGCGTCGTGAGGCAGTAGAGGGAGAGGATACAGCTGGTCTGCAGAGCCAGATGCTGACTGGCGGCCCGATCAGCATCGACTGGGAGGACTAGGACCACCCAACACCCGAGTGCTGGCTTTGGGCCACCCACCTCTTTGGAACTTCTCCCTACGCCCTCTGAGAGCACCAATCAACACCCTAGAACATGGCGCTTCTTTGAACCTTATACTGTGGGTTTAGACAGACTCCCGGAACTGACTCATTCTGACTCCGGCTGCTGGGTCAGGAAAGGCCACCTCACTGCTGACTGATCCAACCCATGGGCTTCATCTTCCCAACGTCGAAAGCTACGCTGTCCCTGCAAGAAAGCAGCTCATCCTGCTCCCCACATTTCCTTCCTACAATAAAACACCTCGTGTAGGATGCAATAGGACCACTAAAATCAAAAGTCGGGCATGCTCTTCTGAAGTATAAACTTAAAACAAATTAAATGGTTGCTTGAAATTATGACCTAAATACCCAGCAACTCCTTAAATATGTAAATAATAATCATTCCCTGAAATTTCAACTCAAACGCAGAGTAGTTATAGGAGATTCGGAAGTTTATCAGTATAAGTGTGTACTAAAAAATATTATTTGATTTTCCTCTTGCACAGTGTTTTCTTTTGATATTTTTATATTACGTGAAATGTTTTCAATTAATAAATATTAATAAATGTATCGACATGCATTTAAGTGGTTCAATGACTGAACTGTAGACAAAATTAAAATTTGGTACCATATGTCCTGTTATTTGGCATTCTAAGCCCTCAGACTGATATGGCAATTAAAAAAAGGTGTAAATTATACCATGCTCTATTTTGTAGGTAGGTGCTTAATACAGTTTATTGAAGTAAATATTATAAATCACAGAGATAAATTTTATATGCAATGAAATCCAATTTCTTAATATGCCAATTATTTTTATGGCTTTACATAAGATCAGGAAACAGTTTTTCTTCTTTTTCTTTTTTGAAATGGCTATAATCAACAGTTCTTAATGCAACCAGTAAAATTAACAAACGGAAGTGAAAGGACAGAATGACCTAGATCAAGAATTGGCCAGCTTTTTTTGTCAAGAGCCAAATGGTAAACATTTTAGGCTTTCTGGCTATACAGTCTGTCACAACTGTTCAACTCTGAGGTTGTAGCACAGGAGTGACCATAAACAAATGAGAATATGGTTGTGTTCCAATAAAACGCCACAGAAGCAGTGTTAGACCTGATTTGGCCCATGAGTTTCATTTGCTGATCCCTGATCTTAGTGGACCTCAGCCCTCCCAGTGCATCAAGATCAGGTGGGGAGCACTCATAAAACACCTATAGGTAGATACCACCCCCAGAGGGTTTCTGCTTTTTAATACTCCTTTGGTGATTCTAATCTGCAGTCAGTATTGAGAACCAGAGTTTAGCAACTGACCATTTGTGTGTCCTCAGATTTCAGGGACTTCTCCTAGCTATCTTCAGTGGCAATTTTTACGAAATGCTTCTCAGATCCTACCATGACACTAACACCACTTAGTAACTGGGAATATCAACAGGAATAATTCACTGAAGGAAAAAAATGGAACCTCAGAGACCTAACTCCATCTGACCTCCACCTCCACTGGTCTTCACCAAGTAAGTCTCTGACTTTTCCCACTTGTTCTTATCTCTCCAGCACCAGTGGGAATGATTGTTATCATTGGTGGAACTTACCAGGTTGGGTTCTGTTCTCTTCTAAGTGAAATGGAAGCACATTGGTGATAATGGAATTCATTCATCTCTTTTCATATTTCCTAAAAAGAACACTTTATTAAATGTGAGATGCTTACTGGCAACTGAAACATGAATCAGAGGAAAGTCCTTGCCTCCCAAATGGTTGGATGCTGCAAAATTTCACTTATGAATATAATTACCAAATCCGAGAATCCCAATATTTTAGTCTTTATTTTAGTCTTTAAACTAAGAACTGAATTGCCAGGCAAATGTTTCTTGGTTGGGGAGACCATCGGTAAAATAAAGAGTAGTCTTCAAATCACTCCATGTCTTTTTTCCAGTTCTCCCAAAGGATGGGACTCATGTTTCAGCTGTAGAACAATATTTCCTTTCTCTTGCTTTGTGTTATCCAAACATTTGGAAGCAAGGATGAGACACATCTGCCACACTACCATCTCTGAGACTGACAGCTGTGGCATCACTCAAAACCAGGAAGGGATCACCTCTTTCTCATAACTCTTCTTTCTCCTCTTCTGCACAGATGCAGGCTGCCCTTTGGCTATTCATGAAAGGTCGGCAGCCCAAGGTCCATACGGTATTGAACACAGTATCAGCCAGAGAATCACAGGCTACTTGAAAAGGATGAAGAGGAAAAAAAAAAAAAAAAGAAAAAAATGAAGAGAAATAAAAGGTTAATGCGCAAGACTATCCCAAGTAGTTTGAGTAATTTAAAAAACGAATGCAATTCCAAGCATGACATGATACCCAGAGGAAAATAAAAGCAGTGATCCAAATACATAATTAAAAAGAACATACACTTAAGAGAAACTTAATAAGCTTCCATCCAATCTAATTAAGCAGAATATACTTTGAGGTGCCCTTCTTTTATGGGCCTCTAGGTCAAAATCACATTTAGCAATCAGAATCTCCTATATCACTATGCACACTCCATGGAAAATCTACCATTTTTGCAGAATACTCCCTCAGATAACTGTACTATGTTTTCTGTAGCTTTCTCTGTTTAAGTGTGGGATGAATAACAATTCACTCATTAAGAAAAACATATGTGTTGGTCAGCCATTCTGTTAGCCATCAGGGATGCAAAGACCAAAGAGATCCCAACTAAAGTACTCACAGTTTGGACAAAGAGGTCGACAGGATGGACAGGTAAACTAATGGTTACACTACACTGTGATGGAAGTAATATCATGGCGGTATGGGAACCCACACAAGAAAAATCTATCCCTTTGGGGTAAAGGTTATTACGAAAGGCATCTCAGAACACCTTCCATTAGAATTTTGATAAGAATTGTATTGAATCTGTAGATTGTTTTGGGTAGTATGACCCTTTTCAATGCACAAGTCTTTCCCCTCCTTGGTCAAATTAATTCCTGGGTATTTTATTCTTGATGATGCAATTGTAAATGATAATTTTTCTTAAATCATCTTTCTGATAATTCATTATTAGTGTATAGAAATGAAATTGATTTTTGTATATTGACTTTGCATCCTGTGACTTTACTGAATTTATTAGTTCTAATAGGCTTATGTTTTTCTTTGTGGAGACTTTAGGGTTTTCCATATATGATATCATGTCATCTGCAAATAGTGGTAGTTTTACATCTTTGATTCCAATTTGGATGTCTTTTATTTCTTCTTTTTGCCTAATTGCTCTGGTTAGAACTTCCAATACTATGTTAAATAAAAGTGGTGAAAGTTGGCATCCTTGTCTTGTTCCTGATCTTAGAGAAAAAGCTTTCAGCTTTTCTCCATTGAGTATGATGTTAGCTGTGCGCTTGTCACATATGGCCTCTATTATGTTGAGGTATGTTCCCTTTATACCTACTGTGTTGAGAGGTTTTTTTCACAAATGAATGTTGAATTTTGTTAATGCTTTTTCTGCATCTATTGAGAGGATCATACAATATTTATCCTTCATTTTGTTAATGTGCTGTATCGCATTGTCTGATTTGCCGATGTTGAACAATTCTTGCTTCCCTTGAATAAAGCCCACTTGATCATGATGTATGATCCTTTTAATATTATTGAATTGAATTAGGTTTGCTAATATTCTGTTGAGGATTTTTGCGTCTATATTCATCAGAAATTTATCTGTAGTATTTTTTTCTTATGGCGTCCTTGTCTAGTTTTGGTATCAAAATAATACTGTCCTCATAAAGTAAGTTTGGAAGTGCTCCCTTCTCTTCAATTTTTGGAAGAATTTGAGGATTGGTGTTAATTCTTCCTTAAATGTTGAAGTCATTTGAATGGATGCTTAATTCTTCTTGAAATGTTGAAACCATTTAAATGGATGATTAATTTCTCTTTAAATGTTGAAGCCACTTAGTCCATTTTGGGGTGCCTGGGTGGCTCAGTCAGTTAAGCATCTAACTCTTGATTTCAGCTCAGGTCATGATCTCATGGTTGTGAGATCAAGCCCTGTGTTGGGCTCTGTGCTGAGCATGGAGCCTGCTTGGAATTCTCTCTCTCTCTCTCTCTCTCTCTCTCT